TGTTCCAAGCATAATTACACAATCTCCTAACACCTTCATTTGTTAGGTCCTAAGCAAAGAATCAAAAGGCAAAACAATCATAAAACACCAATTTCGAAGGTGTCTACATGTGCTGGGAATTGCAGTAAAACAATATAAACATTAAACAAAATATTGCAATGAAACTGTATAGAAAAGAAGGTTCACCTGCTTTTCTTCAAAACTCCAAAGTTTATTTTCCTAAAACATACAAGGAACGGGTCAGTCTTCAATTCAAAGTTTAGAGATAAATTATAAAGAAAAAATAATAAAAGGAAAAGTAGTTACCAAATTCTGGACTGCATGATGAACGGATTTAATATCCCTGCCAAAAGTATCTGACTTACCTCGTAGTTCTGAGACCTTTAGGGCAAAAGAAAAAAAGTTCAGTTTCAGTAAATGATATTTAAACCTTCCATCATAAGAAAAAAAAACAATCAATTCTTTTAACTATTAGCAAAAACCATTCGGTTTTCAGTTACGTGCCTTTTCTTGTGTCTCAGCAGTGAGATCCAAAGATTCGTCCAAACTTTTGTCCACATGATCCATTTTTGAAGATAAATTCCGTTTTGTAGCCTGGACAATCACATAGCAGGGAAAGCAATTAAATCATTGATTCACCGAAAATAAACAAAAATTTCCTAATAAAATCTGATCGACATTGAAGGTTCAGAGTTCAGTCATTTATGTGAGATTTCAAAAGCATCTTGCAAGCTCGAAAATTATGTTAAAAATGCTGTTATGTATAAATAGTACATTGAGACAATAAGATATTACCGAAATGGATGAGTAAACACTCTCAAGCTGCCTAGCAACGGAACTGCAAGCATCAGATAGACTACGCTTTGTAGCAAACATCATATCAGGAAGTTTCCATCCCTGAAAACATACTTGTACTGTGTCATTATATGATAGAAGGTTCTAAAGAGGCAAACAATTGTAAATTGCAACATCCACATTCAAATACGACATGGGATCAAGGAGAGGAAATTGTAGGCTAGTGCTACACCACTAAAATATTCCATTTTGGTTTTATGGAAAATATTACCAAGACTTGGTGTAAAAATATATTACAAAGGTTAAATATATCCTAACTGTTGTTTTAAACTTTTGAATTTAGCAGGGAATATAATATGTTATCACAGCACAATTTGCCCCAAACGAACCAACCACACAATTACCTTAATCCAAACGACCCCATATCCTACTACAACGACAAGAATGACAATGCCATATTTCCTACCCCCTGGCATACAAAAAAAGAAGATTGAGGTAAGAAAATTAAAGAGAAGAAATATGAAACCAAAAAAAATAAAATGCAGTCGCTGACAAGAAAGTCTCATTGTGAATTAATAGCCACCTCAAATTTAAGTTAGATATTAACAAAATAATAATACAAACAACCACACAATTTATATCTACACAGAAAGCACTCATTATTAATCATTATATAAAGGCAGCAGCAATTACATAATAAATTAAAAATCTTAAACAATGGACGTCCTAAGGTTTTCTTAACAGATGTCTTAAAAGAAAACTAGAAACACAGAAAATTAATCAGAGAAAAGTTACAAAATGCCATCATGGGTAAACATTAGGTTAGAAATTTCTTGCCATATCTTTACATAGAAAACTGAAACCTTCTTAAAGCAATAAGAAAAAGGAAAATGCTTCTCAAACAAAACTGCAGCAGGATCTTCAGAAAAAACATCCTTCTAAACAGGCAAAATCATATACTGACGCCAACCCAACTTACTGATAAGCCTTCAACTGTTTTTTTAAGGAAAGGAAACTTTTACTAATATCTCAAAGAGGAAAAAAAGGAGAGCTGAGGCATCCCCAAGATTTGCAAAGGACCCCAGTTGGCATAGGTCACATAAACCTCCGTTATAAGTTATAATTAACAAAAAAAATGTTTCAAGGGGAATTTTTAATTTGCAAAGTTGGAACTCGGTTGTTTTTTATATTTTTTTTAGAAATAACTTCTAAAAATAAAAAACTAAAGGGAAAACAAAAAACATTTGATGATAAAAGAACCATGAAGCTATCTACATTAATATCTAAAGAAACAAACAAGGAAACATCATCAACACCTGTCCCGCCATTGGTCACAATTGTCATTGAACGATTTGATGCTAACATTTGCAGTTCCTGCTGTAAGCTTTTTACCTGTAGATGTGTTAAATGCATTTAGCCAATTGCTTTCCTTGTCCAGGGGCATTCAAGGAACAAAAATAATAATTTGAACATAATAAGGTGACTGGCAAATGAAATTATCATGGTAAAACATATTCAAGTTGCAACAACAGAAAAAAATAAAATATTGCAAAATAAGGTGGATACTGACCTTTTCAGAAAATTTACTCAAATTAAAACAAAATAAAGTATGATTCCTTTGAAGACCATCCATTGAAATTACGAAAAGCAATAATATTATCAGCCACGGAACAATAGAGAAGGGATGAAAAACCAATAAAAGTAGACAATTAGATTTTAGAGTTCTTGCAGATCCCGCATAAGAAAACAATAAAGCAATTAAAGAACAGTACAACAAAAATTATACATTTCTAGATGTATGTTCACAAAAACTAATGGATAAAAAATTGAGGGGTAATCATAGGACTTCGAAATTAGCAGAATACTTCTGCTTTTCCTAGCTATCCAATTTTGAATGTGCCGTAAATTGCCATTATGGTACCTAATTATCATTTTAGTGTCGGGGACACTCAAGTAACCTCTTGGTTTAGGAAAGTTTGAAGAAAACATAAAGAAAGTTATAATGAGCTGTTTCAAGTTTAAAGTTATGGCTGCAGTGAGAGGCACATCTTTGGATTCTTCGCAAGATGAAAACCTGCCCTCCAATTTAAAATTGTCCAGCCATTCAGTTGTTGAACAGTCAGCAACCTAAACATGCTTTATTAGTGCAAATATTTTCCACTTCAAAATAAAATCTGAAGAGTAAAAGTTTCATGAATATGTAAGAAGCAAACATGGTAAACATTAACAAGGTACAAAAAACAGAATCTATTCAATAAAAATCATAAAGTTAGCGCGTAGAAATATGCCAGTGAAAAGGTTGCTGAAAGAAGCTTAGAATAGAGATGAATTTCAAATCTGAAGGAAAATATTAATGAAAAGAGAGAGAACAGTCGGAAATTTCCCTTCATTGAGGATCATAGCTATTAGCAATCGTACAAAACAACTAAAAATTAAATTCATTATATTCAATAAACCAGTTTAAGAAACACACCTGAGCCATTAAAGATTCATTCCGAGGCTTGCTTTTTGAAGTGCTAGAGTCATCTCGACTCATACGCTTTAGAGCAATCTGTTAATAGAAGCCAACAGAAAATTTGAGACATAAAAAATGAACAGGAATATAAACAATTAAGGAGAGGTTAGGGGAAAAATATACTGGTTGGCTGACAGGTATGTAGACAGAAGGGAAGACAAATATGCAGTGCATACCTCACTCGCTCTCTTAACCGGGAGTTCATCAAAAAGTTCGTAGTGAATTGGAAAGTCTCAAACAAAATCCAAAACTAAAAATTTCTACTATACATCGGAAATAAGAACTAAGAAGCAAGTTTTCAAATAGAAGAATACCTTAAAAGCACCCGAGACAAAATCGGATACATATGGCAGGCGTCCTTCTTTTGCCAGAACTGAGCCAACGATACCTGAAAGAGTAGAATATGTGTGATTTTCACTCAATTCTTTCCAGAATTCATATATACGTGACAAACAGCTCCATAAACAATATAGTATTCTGCACAGATGCAAAAAGCAGCCACCAAACGGCATAAAGCACGATTCACAAAAGGGACTCCACTTCATTTTTCAGCTTCTGAAACTCGAACTCATACTTTCACGAAGTTCAACCAGTCAAACAATTTGGTAATCCATGGAATACAGACACGAATACGACACATGATAGCTCTGAGTAAAAAATTGAGTAACACACTTATGAAAAACTCTAACAGATAGTCCTTCCACCCGTATCAAAGAAACAAAAATTATTCACACCATGGAACCTTTGACGTGGGAAAATTAAAGAATCACCAATTCACCAATAAAATACTTCGATCATTCTGTAAAATCCTCAAGCTAACAAATAACCTCAATGCTAAGGTCTCGGGCACAGAAGAAACCCCATCGCCCCAACCAAACCCCACGAAGAGACCGTATACCATCCTTCCTTTACGATCAGAATTATAATTTTAATTCATCGAACGCCCCTACCCCACGAAGCACAAGCAAGCAACCAAGCTATTACAGCGATATCACATTCAATAACTCGAAAAATAAATAAAATACTAAGTTTACTGTGCATGAACCAGCTCCAACGAGAATGGTGATCTTCCCGAAGGGAATCGCCATGGCAGTGCCAAGGATGTGTGTGTGAGTGATGCTGCAGTGGCTACTCGGCGCAGTGGTGGCTGAGCATCAGAACGTTGGTAGAAATCAAATCTTGGTCGGCGTAGGGACGGCGGATTGTGGGTGGTGGACAACGAAGAGACTCCGCCGGTGGCAAATTTTCACCCAAGGAATCGACGAGCTCTTGCAAGCTGCAACGTAGCAACCCTATTCGCCAAGAAGGGAATTGGTGAACCCTCGCAAAAATCAAATTGTGCTATGCTAATTGGAATTTGCGAATTTCCCCCTTTTATTATTATTTATTAGTATTATTGTTTTTTCTTTTTTCTTTGGTACATCAAATTTTAATTTAGGATATGGCTTTTCCTTTTTTTTTTCCTTTTGATTACTAGAATCATTAAATATCCATCGATTGGTTG